TTATATCTTCCGTGTTATCGGCGAGATTGGCGACAAAAAGCTCTCGAACGGTCGTTGTCGTCCTGTTTTATTTAAGGTGTTTGAACCCGCTTCCGACAGCTCTTGGGCGCTCATTGGCGGGATCTTTCCCCCGTTTCTCGATCTCTGACTCTGCACAGCTGTTTTCGGTACGTCAGGCTTTGGAGCTTCCTTGTCCGTCTGACCTTGGCCTAAGCTCCTTTTCGGCAGCCGTTGTTTGCGTCGATCCACGAGCCTCGCGGCGTCCTCGCTCGGATCGGAGGACGCTCCGGGTCGCGCAGGATGTGCTCGCCGGTTTTCTCCGGCGGCAGCTATCCTCCGCTCGTCCGCGGTGTCGATCAACTCCGTCCTCGCGGCTTCCTAGCGATAGCCTATGATCGCTCTCCTTCGGCAGCTTCGCCTCGCCGTACAGGATGTTGCTGAAACAGGTCTGTGTTAAGTTTTCCACCCTGTGGGTCCCTACTGAGTCGTATTATTGACGGAAGCGGTTCACCTGGAGTAGCAGGTCCGGCGGCCGTTCCTCTCGCAGGCTTTTTCTCTCCCACGGCGGCAGCAGTCCTCCTTGCTGGTGGCCTTCTTCTTCCTGACTCAACCTTGATGACCGTATTTATACACAAAAAATGATTCGAGGGCTGCGTAGGCTCGCGTCCTAAACGCCTCACGGCTAGGACGCGACATCCGCCTGCAGCCGGGAAGCTCATAATGCTTCCTTACTATAGACTACTAGTGACAGACGATATTTACTAATCGTCACGTCACAGTAAATAGAATATATTTTATGTATTACATATAATAATAATAAAGTTATTTTTTACAACATAATATCCATGTGTATCTACGAGTTGCATGATTTATCGAATCCCAGCTATTTTACATAAATCTTATCACCTTTTCTGCACATTTTTTCCACCAAGTACACGTTTGGATTGGCAACACGATGCAGTTCGTACTCGTAGAAACCTTCGACTATAGGCTGTCCGCGAGAATCTTCGAGCAGATAAGTCACAGAATTGGTCGCCTGCACCTTGACAATCTTAAACCTCAGTAGTCCAATTGGGCGTGTAGCTTTTAGCAAAGACAGTCTTGAACTTACTCACGCACACCGGATCGCCCATTTTGAATCTCGCCGGAGCTGCAATCTTTACGTTGCTGTAGACCGTATCGAGGAGTTTTTTAGCGATCGTAGGGGTCACATCGACAGGACGCATTCCGATGGTCCGGTG